GATAAGCTGACAAAGATCCCAAAGTTGAAGTGTAAGCCAAGGTTGAAAGGCAACTCTCACGTGTACATTGTTGTTGGAATGCTACATCAGAACTGCTCATCTCAGTAATAGTCATTGCTGCAATTATGCCGCCGAATTTATGCAAACCAATTAATCATTTTCTTTCTTTGTTACTCGAGGACGAGCAACGTTTTGAGTTTGGAGTGTGATAACTCTCCCAAATGAGAGTTAATTTAGTATTTTTATGATGAATTTGTTACATAAATTCCATATAAGTTGACCTCTTTGCATGATAATTGAGCTAAATGTTGCATATTCATGATTAAGTGCTTTGAGATGACTAAGTATGGTAAATGAGATAATATTCCTTGATTTTGTATAAGAAAAGATGATTTGTTGAGTGTTTGTCTTTGCAGGAAAAGTTGACGTCAGAATGCTGTAGTAGATAAGTTGACGAAGTAATGATATAGCAAGCACTACAGCATGACAGCATGGACAAAGGGACAACCGAACTTTTGAATTTCAAAGTTAGTTATTCTCCAACAATACACAAGCAAGCAAGAGAAGTTTCTGAAGATTTAATTCAGAAACCACAAGGGTCAAAGACAAATTCAAAGATTGAATCTTATCCAAAACCCCAAGAACAAGGACAACAACCTTGATTCGGTCAACAATATTGGCACAAGAAATCCAAGAAGATAAAGATCTTATCCAATTAAGTGCCAACAAATCCGAAAATCTCAAGGATCAAGGACAACAAACTCAGCTCTTATTCGGTCAACAACAACATTGGCACAAGGGTTCCAAGAAAAACAAGATTTTATCCAACAAGTGCCAACAGCCCAAGAATCTAGGGATACGATAAGGCTGCAGCAACAAGATTCATGAATTATAACTCTTAACCCAAAAGCCCAATTGCCCAACCATTTTCCCTATTTAAGAAGAGCTCCCCCACGAGTTAAACAACAGTTCGGAACAAAGCGAGAGAGAGGTCAGAAAGGCAAGAAAGAAGGGAGGGGAAGAACGTAGTACCCCTCCCACGTTTTAGAGAGAGAAAGTAAGGTTCTTGGAGGAAGAAGAGCTGCTGGAGCAAAGCAGTGACAACGTTTTCCTACAGCATTCGTTTTCATCTTCTTTTTTGTTTTCCAATGAGTTCTTTCTTTCTTTTCTCTGTTTTATTTAATTCCATTATGAGCTAAATTGCTCTATAGGTTAGGAGATAAAGTATCTATGCTGTAACATTGAGATGTATGCCTAAACTTTGTTTTTATTAATGTTTAATTAATTATTCAACGAGTTTGCTTAATCTTATTCATGTGTGCATGTCGAGAGATACATATATGATATTGAGGAGGTTGGGGCCGAGAGGTTTCCGAATCCAGACCCTTGTTGAATTGTGTGGATTAATTAGGTTAAGAAAGTTAACTTTATTAAGTTGTGGGTAGAGAGATCATTCACACCACATAGCCTAGAACTTGAACTTGAACAATTCAGTGATTAGTTTGGCCATAGAGATATGGGAATTAGTTATTGGGTATATATGTTAGGTTGGCCAAAAGCCCCAACATACTTTAGTGTTCGGATACTAATTAAGCATTGATATAGCATTGTTAAAGCATCGTTTCAGTATTGTTGTATCAGGGAAATTGAATCTGACCTATATCTCATCCATCATCTTAATACCTTGAATTTAGTTTACTGTTTTCTTATTTTTAATTGTCTTTTATTTTATAAACCCCACCATAAAAATCAATCTTTTTATGAATTCTTTACTTAAATAATTATTGCTTTATAAATCATCTCCGTGAGAACGATACTTGGACTCACACATCCCTTTATTACTTGTGACACGTGCACTTGCGTATTTGTGTCATTGATTTAATTGATTGCAAATTGCACAACAGGTATGTGGGCATTGTTTGGCCAACGACATAGAGAAAGGACTTCTAATAATCCTTCAATGATGAGATGTAGGGAGACTTGTGAATCTAGGTCCCTTACTAATAGCGCTTCATCGAAGAATCTGTTGAGGTAATCGCGCAGTGTTTTGTGCGGTCCTTGTCGTACAGTTTTCAAAGCATGTGTGATTTTTATTGCGTTTTGCTTGTTGCAAACCGTATAAGGAATTGGCTAGTTAAATCTTCCCAACTTTGGACGGAATTGGGTGGTAACGCAGAGTACCACCTAAGTGCCACCTCCTTCAAGGTGGTTGGGAATAACCGACATGCTATTGGGTCGGCTACATCTTGTGCCATCATGTTGGTCTGGAATTGTTCCAGATGTTCTTGCGGGTCTCCCTTCCTATTGTATTTCTCAGTTGTAATTTTTACGTCTCTAGGAATATGGACGTTCATGATACATGGGGTGAATGGGTGAAAGATTCGCGAAACTGTTCTAGAATTCCCGTGAGAGTTCTCGTTCTCGTTGGTATCTTTTACCTCTTCACCTTTTTTGTTTTTGTGACCTGAAGGTCTAGGATCTCCTTTTGAAAGTTCATGTACTGGCTCACTTTCGCCGAAATTTTCAAGATCTTTCTCAGTTTCTTTCTCAGGCTCTTTTTCTTTTTCTTTTCCCTGATTTTTCTCTTTACCCTTTTGTGATTTTTTCAATCGAGCTAAATCTTGATTCTGTTGAGCAATCTTTTTGTTCTTATGTGTGATAAGGTTCAGCAAATGTTGGGTCGTAGGTGGGTTTTCATGGTGCACAGAAAGTGGTGCCACCGACGAGGCTGATTTCTCACGGGAGGCAGGAGTCTCCTTCTGCTTTCCTTTAGAGTTGTTCTGGGATTTGCTTCTGGTATCAACCATGTTTTTAAGTTGGAAAGAAATGGGTTCTAAATGATAGTCCCCACAGACGACGCCAATGATCAGACCAAACACAATATGGACAGGCCAATGTGTACTGGGCCTAATCACACACGGATGAAGTGATAAGGTTGCTCTGCTTCTTGGGCTGAAGGTTGTTGAAGATAATGTGAAGCCTCTAGTCCTTTGTTGGCGCGATGGTTGAAACTGGAGGGGAGGTACTGCAATGACACTCCGATGCTTAAGTCAGTATCAGTTGCAGGTGTATGTGTATTCTTAATGAATTAGATGATCATACCTGGGCATGTACCCTCTGTTTATATAGTGGTTCTGATGCCGCCTTCAGAAGGCGGTATGGCCTCTGATTGGCCATTCATGGGCTGCAGGTTTGGCTATAGCCTTATCTCTTAATGCCAGGCTATTTTGATAGAGTAGCGGCAAGCTGGTGTTGTCCTCTGTTTATTAGTACAAAGGCGCGGTGAGTTTGTATTAGCTCTTGAGATAGCTTTCTTGCCTCTAAAGTTATGTTAAAGGGCGATTTCATGCACGATGGGGGCATCGCGTAATGTTATTCGCGATGGGGACAGGGGACCATCGCCCCTAACTCTGGGCCTTCGTGAGATTGGGCTCCGTTCGTATGTTTTTGGGCCTCTAGCGGGCCTACTATATTTTATCCAGATCACTTGCCATATATATATATATATTTGAAAGCATTAAATGCGGGGAATCATAACCATACAAAGGATGAAAGCATTAAATGTGGAGAATCATAACCATACACTTGTCGATGCTGTACGTAAAGCGACTGCAGAAATGATTTTACCTATATATATATATGGGTTCACTTTTCCTACAGTCAATGTAGATAACTTATCTACATTGAGCCCAAAACGACGTCGTTTTGAGACAGAAATCAAGGTATTTTTGTAATTATAATTTATTTCAGGGTTATAATAATCTTGTTTTATTATAATTTTTTAATTTTTCAACCCAAAACGACATCGTTTTGGGAGTAAACGTAGATAACTTATCTACATTCACTTTAGAAACATTAAAGCCTATATATATATATATATATATATATATATATATATATATATATATATATATATATATTGCATAACCATAAAATAAAAATTTGAACTTAAAAATTTTAAAATTGATTTTATTAAAATTCTATAATTTCCTTAAAAAATGTATTCAACAGAAAAATTTCACTAAAAATTCGATTATTGCCCCGTACTTTACAATATTGGAAGTATTGTGCAAATATTCAGAATAATTAATAATACATAATTTTATTTATATATTCACTTTTTCTATTAATTGAATCTACTTACCATGTAATTGGCATGAGAAAACATTGAGCAACTGATTTTGCTTAAATGTAAACCTTATATTGTTCTTTCTAAACAAAAAAATATAAAAATAAAATAAAATAAACAATAAAAAAAAGGACAATATGGACCAAGCAGCAGTGTTATTAAAACCGGCCCGGCCCGGCCGGTCGGACCGGTTGGCCCGGAAATCGGCCCATCAACCGGTCCGGTTTCAATATTGGACCGTTTAAGCATTTGACCCGGTATCAACCCGGTGACCCGGTCATAAACCGCGGTTGAACCGGTGTAAACCGGTACCGGTTTTACCTTTAAACCGGTTTTTTAAAATAAGTTACAAAATATTCCAATTTTTGCGCCAGGTGGGAATCGAACCCGACCCTTTGATGTGAGGAGCGCACCTTCAAACCACTACACTATCATTACCTGTTGAATATAATACACCATTTAATATACTTATTATATAACTATTAAGTTAATAGAATTATTTCAAAAATTGCATCTAAGAGGAATCGAACCCCTTACATTGAGGATAGGCAATATAGTAATTACCACTAGACTACATCAGGTTATTGTTTGAATTGCACCATTTAAAATATTTATTATATAATTAAGTATAAAATATAAATTTATATATATATACCCGGTTCATGCGGTTCAACCAGTGACCCACCGGTTGAACCATTGACCCAGTGACCCGGTACCTCGACCGGGTCAATGACCGGTCCGGTTCTAATAACATTGCCAAGCAGAGACTATAAATAAAATAAACCTTGTTATTGGCTGTGCTCGACGACGTAGAATTGTTCAGATCCATAACTTCCAAAATATAATTAAAAATGACTCATTCCAACTTCCAAGGGATATCTTACACAATATCCTTAAATCTCGGACAAAGTTTTAACAGAAGAATCACTTATAAACAGTATGTACATTGTACAGCAAGCGATTGAAATTAACTTCTAAGTTAAAAAAACATCTGGGGCATGAACCAATTGAACAACTTACAAATCTATGTACAATTTTCTCCACTCTTAAACCATCCCTACAGAGCCAAGCTATCTTTTTTTATGCAAATCCATGGCAATTCTTCAGCACTCTTAGAAGCCACATCATCAAACTCACATGAGACAGTTTTCTTCTTAGGAAAATTATACATTTGGACATCATCATTTTCCATCCTGTAATCAGCCAGTAAACACCCTAAGACGGCTAGTGATCCTCTCTCTGCATATGGGACAATTGCTTATTCTGGATCCACAATCTCTGCAAGTCTGCATCCCAAAATATTGTTAAAAATCATAAAACTAATTAACTGTATAACAAAAGATAAAGGAGACCATGAATTTAATGAGGCTCACCATGTGACCACATCCAAAGGCTAAATCCTTTCCATTGGTTAGACAAATAGCGCAGACCTACATAATTTCATTGGATAAAAACGTAAAATAAATCATCATGCAACTTCTAACATGATAGAAAAGCAAACCTTGTTCCATCAATAACTCTATACTAGAACAATAATCATAGAGAATTAATTATCTATATTTGCTAAGTTTCTAACCAAATTGTTTTCTGGTATCACGAAAAATAATATCTATTTTCTTTCTGGTAAATTAAAAAAAAAAAACTGAGATCAACTGGCACAGTGTTGTTCCAGCTCAAGGTCTCAGAGTTGAATCCTGACTACGCAACTATGTTAAAAAAAAACTTGGTAGGAAGTGATTAAGGAGAAAATATACTGAAACACTCAAGGATTCAATCATATATACCATTTGGTTTCGCTCATCTTCCATCATGGATGCTGGCATTGTGCTCAGAACATGAGCTGGAGGCACAGGCCGAGAATAAGGAACTGGAGGAGGTCTTGGAACTATTTTCCTTGCCCTTCCCGTTTGATGACTTTTGTACAAAAAAACAAAAGACAGAAGAAGAAAAACATAGTAATCATCAAAAAAAAAAATTTAACAAATTGTCACTTGAAAGAAAACCACATTGCTTTTAAGAAATCTGTCACCAAATGAAACTTAAGCTAGTGTATAAGAAACCAACCCAAGTATTCCAAGTTCAATGTTAGCTTTATATTGGAAAGGTATCTCCATTAGAGCAGCCAGAGCAAAAGCAGCTTCTTTCTCAGAAGAGCTTGCGCTCTTAGACATTATGTCAGTGAAGTTAACAAACTGCATAAAAGGGGAAAGATGTTTTAATGTAATGAATTGATTGCAAACAATGCAAATAAGTAATGCCACCTAAAATTTCTGCTACTATTGCTATATATACCTGAAAATTATCAAAATTGCGTGCAGGTATCTTGTCATCAAACTTTTTCATGTCTTCCCAAGGTCCATCACCAACTCCAATCAGAATAATAGAAAGTGGATATGAACTGGCAGCAGAAAAGTATAAAACAGAAAATCATTTGTTGTTTTATTTTAATCTTAACATTGGAGACAAGATAAAGTTAGTTCTCTTATAGCTGAGGCTAGCTTCCATTTTATTTTATTTTTGATAATTCATTGTGTTTTTTTTGGGAGAGGGTACACTTCAGTACAAATTAACAATCTTGATAAACATCTACCTTGCATCAACGATTGCTTTGATTGTTCTCTCTTCTTGAGGACTGAGTTCTCCATCATCAGTGTTGACACTTCTTGTAACCTTCAAATTGGACAAAATTATACAAATTTGAGAATCACATGCACACACACATACTTGGAGGTAACATAGTATACCTGGCCATCTGCAATAATAACCAAGACATGGAATTGGCCACCAGTTTTCTCAACTATGTCTATCGCAGCCTCAATCACTGGAGCATAAGAAGTTGGTCCTTCAAACAAAATGCAAATATTTCTTTAGCCATGACTATTTAGTTTACTAATGTTATGTTATGTTAGTTATTTTCCATTCTATGCTTTATTCCACAAAATGGGCATTTCCTTATTCATTAACACAAAATTATTATTATTATTATTATTATTATTATTATTTTGGATTGGAATTTTTATACCATGTCTAGTTTTATGAAACAACGAATCACTCATGGTTTTCAAGAGAGGTGGAATTGATGATCCTATGTTTTAAGGAATAAAGAATATTTATGTCATTTATATCAAATTAGATTCCGATCCACCTTGATTTTTAATGGTACCGAGCAATGTAACAGCAAAATGACATCAAGAAACAGCAAAAAGAAACACTTCTATTAATTCAATAGTTCGCAAGAGACAAGCTCCATTGACAATTCCAACAATAACGCAAAAGAAATAGAGCAACAACAGCCTCCCATAGCTCTTTTTATAGACTCAACAGCAGGACAATGACAATAGTAAATAGCAATGCAGAAATACAACGATAACAGTAACCAAATGACACTGCAGTAGTACAAATACTCTTATTAAGGACAAATGACAGACTCCATGACTCCTACAGCTCCCTGATTATCCGTCTTCCAATGATAATAACCCTATTCACCAGCGACTGAGCACCACGCTCAGCTACCCCACACCCACAATATGAATATTCTCCTCCCCTCACACCATTTCCCTCATTCCTTTTATTCCCCCACCATCCGAATCTTCTCCCACTAATTTCCCCACATCCACCTCTTCATTCAACGCTTGCCATGTCTCATTATTTCCTCTAACTAACTGCTCTTTTATTTCTTCATTCCTCTTTTGTCCTTCCTTATTTTTAGTATTTTTCCCTTGAGTATTTTTAACACTCCTTTTGTATATTATTTTATAAGGTTCCAGCTCCTTAGGCCCTTCAATACCCCCTCCCTCAAAAACCACCTTGTCCTCAAGGGGAAAGGATGGAAACTGCTCTTGAATAACTTCCAATGCTTCCCAGGTACACTCACAATCAGGTAGTCCTTGCCATTGCATCAGCAATTCTATCTGACCATTCAGTAATTTCCGAGCCTTTAGCACCTCAGCTTGCTGCACCTGCAACTCCAAATCTTCTGTCAAGAAACGAGGTAAATTTAATACTGGTGTGGATGGCTGGACCGATTTCTTTAACTGGGAAACATGAAAAAAAGGTTGCACCTTTGAATATGAAGGGAGCTTTAGTACATATGCCACTGGTCCCACACGCTTAAATGGACCATAAAACGCGGGATAAGCTTCTAATTTATCCTCCGAGCTAGAGGACGCAGCTTATATGGTTGGATTTTTAAGAATACTTTATCTCCCCCAGCAAACTCCACTTTTCTCCTCTTTTTATTAGCTTGTGTTTTCATTCTCTCTTCTTACAAAGATTGATCTACAGCCTCCACAGGTATGTCTCCTCCTCCTAACTGCAGAATAGCAGGTAGATCTCTGCCATATAATGCTTTGAAACGCGTCATCTGAATAGCTCTAGGAGGAATTAAACCAAAACTCTGCACATGGTATCCATTTAACCCACCCCTTTGGATGACTATTGATGAAACAACGTATGCTGAACTGAATCCAAAGTGCAGTTAACAACTTCGACTCACCATCCGTTTGTGGATGGTATGCTGAACTGAATCTTAGTTTAGTTCCTGCCAATTTGAAGACCTCTTCCCAAAATTTGCTCACAAATGCCCTGTCATGATCTGATACTATGGATTTTGGGAATCCATGCAGTCTCACAACCTCTCTTATGAAGACAACAACCACCTCTTGAGCCGTTAATGGATGTGTGAGTGTTAAAAAATGAGCATACTTGGTGAATCATTCTACAACCACCAGAATGGTATCCATTACCTTAGATTTGGGCAAACCCCCTATGAAATCCATAGAAATATCTTCCCATACCCTCGTAGGAATTGGTAAGGGTTGGAGAAGCCCACCAAGAAGAAGGTTGTCATACTTCTGTTGTTGACAAGTACGACAACCCTTATATCTACCCCATTAATTTTGCTACCCACTTTTGTTAATTTTCAGCCATGATTCTCTGTTCAGTAAGATACTTCAAGTTGTGCTGATTTGTCCTTGTTATAAAATGCCTTCCCAAGAGATAGTGCCGCCATTTAATCACTATAAACACAATTCCTTTCAGCTCCCTTTCATAAACTGACAAAGACCTAGCTTTTTCAGAAAACGCCTAACTCAAAAATGCTACTGGTCTCCCCATTTGTATAAGGACAACCCCAATTCCCACTCCCGAAGTATTTGTTTCCACAATAAAAACCTCTTCGAAATTCGGTAGAGCTAAAATGGGTAGTTTCACCATGGCTGATTTTAAAGCGTCAAATGTATCTTGGACTCCTTCTCCCCACTTAAAATTATCCTTTTAGAGTAGTTGGGTTAACAGTCTAGCAATCTGTCCATAATGTTGGACAAATCACTGGTAATAACCTGTAAGTCCCAGAAAGCCCCCACAACGCCTTCAAATTCTGAGGTACAGACCAAGAACTGTTTCCAACTTCCTCGGGTCAGTTTTCACCCCCTCCTTAGAAATTAAGTAGCCTAAATATTCCAACTCTTCCTCTGCAAAATTACATTTTTGTAATTAACATGGAACTGATTCTGTTTGAGGATTTCCAGCACCACTCTAAGGTGTTCCACATGTTGTTCTTTGCTTCTTCTATAGACTAGGATATCATCGAAAAATACTAGCACGAATTTTCTCAGATATTGTTTGAAAACAGATTTCATGAGTGATTGAAAAGTAGAGGGTGCGTTACTTAGCCCAAATGGCATGACTAAGTACTCATAGTGTCCCTCATGTGTGCGAAAAGCAATTTTTTCAATGTCTTCTTCCCTCTTCCGGATCTAATTGTAACCATATTTGAGGTCCAATTTAGAAAAAATGTCTGCCCCTCCCAACTCATCTACCAGTTCATCAGTAATGGCTATCGAAAACTTATCAGGAATGGTTACCTTATTTAAAGCTTAGTAATCCGTACAAAACCTCCAGCTCCAATCCTTCTTCTTAACCAGGATCAATGGACTGGAATATGGACTGCTGCTTGGGCAAATCATACCCGCTACAAACATATCTCGGACAAACTTCTCGATTTCCTCCTTTTGATAATGAAGATATCGATATGGTCTTATATTTGGAATTGTCGCTCCTTCCTTCAGCATGATTATGTGGTCACATACTCTTTTGGGAGGTAGATTAGTAAGTGGTTTGAATACCAGCTCAAACTCCTTCAACAACTCCGTGAACCTTGAGATTTCTATTTTCTTCCCTGTTTGAATACTTCTGTTTTGGACCTCTGCCAATCTACTAAGGGATTTCTTGGTTCCACCATTGGAACCAACTCAAAGCTTTCCCTTCCAAGCAAATGGATGTCGTTTCCACTTGTTCCTCCACCGGAATCCGATTGACACGAAAATATCTCTCAGCTCGGAAAATCCACCCATATAGATCTTCCCTGAGTAAATGAAAGTTCTCTTCCAACCTCCCATTACTCGCCTCCAGCCTGTCCGGTCGTCTCTTCACTTCCTCAATTCTAGCTTCCATCTCGTTGGTCCGTTAAGCCCCATCAGGATCGAACGAGCTCTGATACCAAATTAATGGTTATGGGCAATGTAACAACAAAATGACAGTAAGAAACAGCAAAAGAAACACTTCCATTAATTCAATAGTTTGCAAGAGACAAGCTCCTTTGACAATTCCAACAATAACGCAAAAGAAACAGAGCAACAGCCTCCTATAACACCTCATATTTCTAAAACGTATAATTATATATGAAAATAAGGATTAAAGGGTAGGATTAGTGAAAATTCTGAAATTATGGCCAAAATACAAGGGACGGGTAAAACGGTAATTAGCCAAACACGTAACCCTGGAAGGTAAAATTGAGTAGGAGGTCTCAAATGAGAAAACTAATCCAGGAAATGGATTCAGAACGAAAAATTGAGTAGTTAGGAAGGTTTCTGAAAATTTGGTGAATAGTGTTTTTACCGGGTAAAAATATTGTGGTACAGTTGCACCGTAAAACGTGCCGAATGAATTTTGAGCTCTAGGTTTGGATATAAGTTATAAATGGTATATAGGACTTGGAAATATGATTTCTGATGAAAATTGACGGAAATTAGTGAGTTTGGGGAAGCGTGCCTACGACGCGCATAACAGCTTAAAACTGCGATTTCTCCGAACGACCGGAAAACTCCGGATTCATCTGATCAAGGACAATTAAAGGACAATTAAAGGACAATGTTAAAAATTAGAGTTTTTAAATAGGTTATGAAATTATGGACGTTTAGCGGAATAGGCGGGAGATTTGAATTAGTTTGAAATCGCGTGAGGTGGCGGTGGGGCCCACCTCACTTAAGTGACTTGGTCCACATGGACCAAGTCCACTATTCATCATCATCTTTCCCCTCTCTCTTTCTTCAAGGCTGAAACCCTCCCCTCCTCCATGGAAGTTTTGATTCAAATCTTCTCTTCCTCCTAACTCCTTCAATACTACCCCGAATCAAGAAAAGTTTGTGAGCAAAGTTGTTGGAAATCATCATCCGAACACATCCCACCGATTAGTTTCCCTTAAAACCCTCTCATTTGTGAGAAAAAGGGCAAAGTCAGCCACGAATTTGAGAAGAATTTTGGGATTTTTGGAGTTGTTTGCTCAAGCCATTGCTTGGGGATCACTTGGAGGAGTCTTGGGACTTGATTGTAGGTAAGTTTCAACACCTTTTATTGGTTGAATTGATAGATCATATTTCATGAAACCTAGAGCATGTTTGTGTGATTGATATAGTTAGAGAGCTCAAATGAAAATTGTGTATTTGATAAAAGTAGCTTAGAATGATGTTTTAGAGTGATAAATGACATAAAAATTATTGGTGAAAATTGGATATTAATTTAGTAAATTTTTGGTTGTGATTCCATGACTTTGTGAAATTGATTGATTGTAGGATTGTGTAATTGAGTTGTTGAGTGTTTGTATGGGTTGATAGTGATATGGTATGATGGTTGGGAATGTTGAATTGGATTGGATAACCATTGGTAGGAGGCCATGTACATTTCGGCCATAGTGAGGAAATTGGGGATTTGATGTTGTGAAATTATGTGGTTGATGTGTTGTAGTGTTAAATGGTATTTAGAGGTGTAAGGACTGTTCGGAGCCCTGTTTGAGGTTGGCTGGTAGATTTGCTTGTCCCACTTCAAACGGTGATATCCGGAACAAACGAGAACTTTATGACTTGTGTGATAGCTCGTTAGAAAGATAATTAAGTCTAGAATAACATACTAAAAGATGAGAGGTTCGAGGCATGCGGTTTATCCGCATAAATTAAAAGACCGAACCATGTTCAGATAGGTAGAAAACGTAAAAGAGAGATTTAGGCTAAGTGGGTTTATGGGAACCCCTTAGTGACTTGAGAGAGGTAATATATGATATGTAAGTAGTTTAAATAATTATTCCGCAAAGAGTTATCAGTTACGGTCACAGCTTTTATTTATTACGCCTTATTATTGTTTTAAATGCTCGCGTAATAAACGGAAAAAGTTTACTCGCATTTTTATAAATGAATTGCTGTGATTGTAACTGCGCTTAATATCATAATCAATGTTAACAATATCGGTACGTAACGGGCTGTTACACCTCCCATAGCTCTTTTTACAGACTCGATAGCAGGACAATGACAATAGTAAATAGAAATGTAGAAATACAACGATAACAGTAACCAAATGATAATGTAGTAACACAAAAACTGTTAAGGGGGCATTTGGTACGAGAGATATTTTTTTTACCGAGAAAAAAAGATTGTTAAGGATTTGGTAAGAATTTTTTTATCCCAGGTAAGTTACAAAAAAGTGTTTGGTTGGCCAAAATTTTGTAGGGAAAGTTGGGTTAATTTTACTGATGCTATATTTGGTTGATGGTAAAATATTGATGGGAATGTGAACGAAATTATCAAAATACCCTTAATTTTTTGAATATGCCAAGTGAGTCATCATCAAATGTTGCTTTTTTTTGGGAAAAAGTGAATCAAATGTTACTTTTTGACAATCCAAGATTAAGGAAAAAAAAATACCAAAGGTTAAGTGGGAAAAAAATTTGCCTTTGTGTAGTTCAAAAGGAAAATACCGGGTAAAAAAAGTTGTTGGCATTTTGTTCACAATACCCATACCAAACATGGTAAATAAATATTTCTTACCCCACTTTCCCATCATTCCATACCAAACACCCCTTAAGGACAAATGACAAACTGCGTGACTCCTATAGCTCCATGATTATCCGTTTTCCAAAGATAAGAACTCTATTCACCAGCGACTGAGCACCACGCTCAGCTGCTACCCCACACCCACAATATGAATATTCTCCTCCCTTCATACCATTCCCCTTATTCCTTTTATTCCCCCACCATCAAAATCCTCTCCTACTAATTCCCCACATCCACCTCTCCATTCACTGCTTGTCATGTGTCATTCCCTCTATCTAATTGCTTTTTTATTTCTTCATTCCTTTTCTACCCTTCCCTATTTTCAGTATTTTTAACTCTCCTTTTGTATATTTTTTGTAAAGAACCTTGGGATACACCACCTCAAAAGCTAGCTCAAAGGGTGGGAGTGTCCAAGGCCTATATATATCTCAACACGCTCCCTCACACAAGAGCCCATTGGGCTTGAAGAGTGGACAATGCAATAGGCCCAGACTACCTGTGCTAAGAAATGCCACAAGAGAAATTGGGGGGCGGCGAGGCTCTGATACCATGTAAAGATCCTTGGGATACACCACCCCAAAAGCTAGTTCAAAGGGTGGGAGTGTCCAAGACCTTATAAACTCCATATTAGTTGCACATACAACCAATGTGGGACTATATATCTCACACGCCCCCTCACACGAGAGCCCATTGGGCTTGAAAAGTGGACAATGCAACAGGCCCAGCCTACATGTGCTAAGAAACACCACAAGAGAAAGTGGGGGGCGGCGAGGCTCTGATTAGGGGTGTTCATCAACCGATCCAAACCGATTCAAACTGCGGTGACCGAACCGAAAAAAAGGAAAACCGAATAATTCGAAAATCGAAAAACCGAAAACCGAAAAAAAACCGCAAATTTTAATTGGATTGGATCGGTTTTGGATGGGTTGATGAAAACCGATCCAATCCAAACCGATCCAATATATCAATTCCCATCTACCTACTTGGGTCTTTCTTTAATCATAGTCTAAAAATTTCTAAACCCAAGACCCATTAACCCATCAACTAAACCCAAGAAAAAATTTAGTCACATCTCATCAAAAAAAATTTATCTTTGTAGAGCTTCATATCTCATTGCCAAAAAAAAAAAACCAATATTATAGTTTACTAATGCTTTTATATTTCAAATTTTTTTTTTACGAAGCCAATATATACAAAAGATATTATTTGCATAATAATCATGAAATAAATTTTAGGATTTTCATAAAACCAAAAACCGATCCAATCCAAACCGAATGGATGATTATATAATCAAACCGAAGGAATTGGATCGGATGATTTTTGCTTCCAAAATCGATCCAATCCAAACCGCGAACACCCCTAGCTCTGATACCATGTAAAGAAAGCGGGGGGCGACGAGGTTTGAGCTAGCTTTTGGGGTGGTGTATCCTAAGGTTCTTTACATGGTATCAGAGTCTCGCCGCCCCCACTTTCTCTTGTGGCGTTTCTTAGCACAGGTAGGCTGGGCCTGTTGTATTGTCCACTCTTCAAGCCCAATGGGCTCTCGTGTGAGGGGGCGTGTTGAGATATATAGTCTCACATTGGTTGTATGTGCAACTAATGTGGAGTTTATAAGGTCTTGGGCACTCCCACCCTTTGAGCTAGCTTTTGGGGTGGTGTATCGCAAGGTTCTTTAAAAGAACCAATTCAACCCAAAAGCTTAAGCTGGTGGGTGAAGCTACATTAATGGTTTTATATATCTCAACACGCCCTCTCACACGAAAGCCCACTGAGCTTGAAGGGTGGACAATGCACAGGCTCACCTACCTGTGCGAAGAAAGAAATTTCACTTGAAAGAAAGTAGGGGGCAGTGAGGATCGAACCCGAGACACGAGGCTCTGATACCATGTAAAGAACCAATTCAACCCAAAAGCTTAAGCTGTTGGGTGAGGCTACGTTAATGATTTTATATATCTCAACACGCCCCCTCACACGAGAGTCCACTGGGCTTGAAGGGTGGACAATGCACAAGCCCACCTACCTATGTGAACAAAGAAATTCCACTTGAAAAAAAGTGGGGAGCGTCGAGGATCGAACCCGGGACACGAGGCTCTGATACCATGTAAAGAACCTTGGGATACACCACCCCAAAAGCTGTCAAAGGGTAGGAGTGCCCAAGACCTTATAAACTCCACATTAATTGCACATACAACCAATGTAGGACTATATATCTCAACACTAATCTATAAGGTTCCAGCTCCTTAGGCCCATCAATTTTATATACCAAACAATTGAATGGCTTGGAAAGCTACTCCATTCCAAAAATTACAAAACTAAGGATGGTGACTGGTCATTCCATTTTACCCTCCAATGTTTATATGTTTTCAACACAAAATAAAACAGTCATTTACAAGCAAATACAGGATATTGAGCTAAATGATTCCAACAAGAACAACCCAAAAAGCTAAAGATAATAATTACCTGAAAGTCTCAAGTTCGGAACGATTTTTTGGTAGCAAGACAAAACTTCCTCAAAACCATGGCAAGATGAATGATCACTGTGAAAGCTAAACACTTCGTGATCATGAGTGGTAGCTGCATAGTAATAGAAGTTGAACAATTGTTATATTGGAAAAACTATAACTTCCTTTTGTAATTTTATCAATGTTCAGCTTTGAGTATTAGGCCTTACCATCACCAAATCCAAAACAAGGAATCAAATTGTCATCATCAAAGGGTGCCAAAGTCTTGCCAATAATAGAGATGGCTTTCTCATAGGGGTTAGGTGTATCTCCAATAGCATGCAGGCTTCTATTATTGAATGAGATTCTTCCTTCAATAACAACATGGATACATTGGCTTCTTAGGCTAACAGTCAAAAACCAATCATCTCAAAAGGAAATAATAACCAAAACCTGTAAATTAGTGTCAAATCATATATCATTTTCATGCCAATTTAAGTTCTCAATTATGGCTTCATTCCATCTTATATTGATTGCAATGGATCATAGAATTAGTTAAATTTTGTTTGTGTACTATTTACCAGTCCATTCATTGCTTTTTGTGAAATCAATTCCAAGGACAAGATTTGATGATTCTAAGCCTTCTTTCCTCAAGGCACTTGTAACCTGTATAGGAGAATTGAAAAAACAAGTATGAAATTTTCAAGAAATCCACTTGACAAAGCACATTTGGGTAGGTGACAATACAGAAATTCACTAATAAATACTGCTTACTAATGAGTTCAATTAAGATAATCTTTGGTGTAATTGGGAAAATCAATTTAGATATTAGAAATTTTAATAAGATTCGAAGTTCCAACTGTTTCACATGGATGATATTACTAACTTTTTTCCCCCACATACACACTCATCCAAAATATATATATTGGAATAGATCATTTTACACAGTATAAGTTATACTCTCAATAACCTGCCCTTATATATATATATATATATATATATATATATATATATATATATTTTCGTATACAACAAGTTGCATTAGCACACAGATAAATAAGAAACTTGTTACATGACATGAATATGAATAATGTGAGTCCAAATTTTCCTATGCATTTTGCAAGAAAAATAAAAGTAGTACTCTACAGTCATACATGTCAATGATATTCAATGGAATGACTTTATGGGTATATACTTAGGGGGGGGGGGGTTTCTGCTTTTGTTATAGAGAAAATTTCTCTGCCACGTTTATATAAAAATGAATAGGTCACATTATAAAGAGAAGAGATAGAAAAGATTAACGGGACCCATTCACTTTTATGTTAGTGTGGCAAAAAAGAAATTTCTGCTGCCAAATAGAAACATTAAACCCATATACTTATTTTTAAGTATTTAATAATACTTGATTTCATAATAAATACCCAAAAATTTATTAAATATAAGTGATAGTCAATAAAATGTTTACCAACTCATTTACTAAACCTAATAAAATAAATAAATACTCATACAATATCTGCTTTTGTACGATTTCAATTCTCAAAGTCCAAGTGCAATGTAACTGAGAAAATATAGACATAAAGATATAAAATTTATAATTCTGAAATTACGCTTAAAATTTTTAATGAGTTGATCCTCTCACGTATATGTTTTCATCACCATTAATTTACTAATAAACAATTAAGATTATCTCCGGTAAACTCTTGTCAATATTCCCAAAAAAAAAAAAATTAAGTAATTTTTTTAAAATAATATTACCAAATTTTTAACTCATGAAATCTATCGTATATCTCGTTATTTAAAAACTTTTCCCAAATAGTAAGGAATCTAGATTCATTTTTGTGACATAAATTGACAGCAATATCGTACCTTCACTAAGTGGTCCCATAGAAAATAATCAAACAAACAAAATCACACTCGTTCGCGTGAGCATGTGGGTCACTAAAAGACAAATACGACTCCGTTAATTTTTATTAAAAGTTTAAAACTGTATAACGTTCTTCCATATTTATCGTTGGGAAAAAGATATGTTATTATATATATATATATATATATATATATATATATATATATATATATATATATATTTAAATTCACTTAAAAAATAAAGACAAAAAAATAAAATACATGATCCACATTTTTTTGTGAAAATAAAAAAACATAAATTATATCATTTAAAATAAGAAAAAATATACTCTTATATTATAAAAGAATATTTTTCTCTCTTACACATACATCAATTTTTGTGTTACTTTTTAATTTTACATTTTTATAAATAAATAGATCCCACCCATAATTATTTCTATAACATTTAAAAAAAAAAAAATCTTATTACATAAGATTAATAAAAGCTTTAAAATAATAGACATCTTTTTCCTTTATTGTTTTCTTTTCCTTGCGTGTGATATGGGTTGTCTGACACCTACCTTAACACACTGTCCTTAGACCCATTTAATTTTTTTCCACAGTTTCTTTACTATTTCAACCCCCAACCATTTTTAATAGAATTATTGGGAAAAAATAAAGCTTCTTTATCACATTATTGGAAAAAAATAAAGTCACGTCATATAACTATTTGGAAATATAACACGAATATAGTTCTTGCCTAAAAAATTTCATATTTCGTAATTAGTAACAGATTTTGGTTTTTTTTTTGGGGGGATGAAGAAAAACTCCACATATTCCTACCAAACAAAGTATTAAATTCTTATGAAAGTTGTAATTTGGAAGCTTTTATTTCATTTTATACTCTACTCAACCTCTTTCTCTATCTATGGACTTTCCAGTTTCCAGTGGACTCTGTACTCGATGCTTCGAAGTCAATACTCAATACATTATTACAACCTTCACCTCATAATGATGGAAAACGCGTTGACGTCACCTTAGCATATGCGAATCAAATTGAAGAAACGTGCTCCCGTTAATCATTTTGAAACAGCACTTTCAGATTAATTAAATGTAGAGAAAAAATTTCTTAAGATATTTTTTTAAATTTAATTCTTAAAAATGTTAATTACATTATTTTGATTTCCAAAAATTTATTTAATACGAAGTAATTTTAAAATTTTTAAAACTTGAGAAAGGATCAGTCACGATTACAAGATAAAATTACTAAAATACCATTACATAATTTATACTTTCAAAATTCACATTTAGATCGGAAGTTCCTATTAAATATATTACATTTATAAAACATCATATTAATATAAATTTATTTAGTATATTATTTATATATATAACCTTTAAAATATATATTTCTTTGGAATATATGAAAAAAAAGAATATATTCTTATGTTGTTAAAAAAAATTATAAAATTTGACACAAATAATCAAGGAAATATATAGTGATAAATATAGAAATATATATATAGAAATGTATATAGTTCAGGTAGGGTCAAATGCGAATAAGAAATAGGAAAAAAATATGAATTTCACTATACATATAAGAGATAAAATTATATTTTATAACATGTGAAATATTAATATCATAATTTTATGAAAAAAAAAACGTATCCTTTTAAATGACACAACTTATATCATTTCACTCTCACAAAAAGGTGAGACTCACTTTTTTTTTGTATTTTGTCAATTCTTTCTCCTCCGTAATCTATCATTTTCTCTCACTTAAAAAAATGACATAATTTTACATCATTTAAAATGACACATACTTTTCACTAATTTTATATAAACAATCTCAAATAAATTTGATAACCCCACGGTTGCATTTATTTTAATTTTTTAATTTTCTAATTTTTTTCTTACTTTGAGTACCAACAAGGGGTGAAACTGGACCGGCCCGGCCTACAGAGGCCTACGGCTCGGCCTACGTCAGGCCAGACCTGACCTAGTATATTTTGTAAAATAGGCCCGACTTGAGCCTTGAAAAAGCTTGTTTAATAAAAAAGCCGTAGGCCCACTTTCACAAGGCCTGACCTATAAGCCTACAGGCCGGCATATATTGTACTATTTATTTTAAATAAAATAAAATAAAATAGAATAAGTATGCCTTGAAGAAAAAATATATATAAATTTAATCAATTGCAATTATTTATAACTTAATTATATTCGATTATATTTTAATAGAAATCTGACTTTATTTCTTATGTAAGAGGAGTCAACATCTCAGCATGTTAGATTGTGTATATTAATATATTAAAAAGTTTTTGAGAGAAGTTATACTTACTACAAGCATCATGATGTATTTGTTGGATTCATGTAGTTATTTTAATTTACATAGTATGAATTTGTTTGTTGGATCTGATAAAATATATGTTATTTAATTTGAGTATTTTGCTTTTGAAAGTGACTTAAATGCAGATTACATGAGTTTTGTTATAATTCATGATTCTGTTTGAACGTTGAAATTATGATTTTTGGTTCAGCAACAGAATTTGAGTATTTTGTAAAGTTGATTCATTGTTCTGCTTGGAAATTAAAAATTAACAGGCTAACGGGCTAGGCCAGGCTATTTGTTTTTTAATAAACGGGTCAAGTCAGGCTAACAGTTAGATTCATACTAGGCTTGAGCCAGGCCAAAATGAAATTTTTTGACGTATGCTTGGACTTTTCGAGACAAAACTTGACCCAGCTCAGCCCACTTTCACCTCTAGTACCAACCATCCTTAAAAGCAGTGACACTTCTGTCGAATTTGAATCCAGTAGAGTACGTATAGTACGCCCATTACAGTATATTTTAAATTATAATATAAATGATACAAAATTAGCAATTGAAATAAAATACAATTAAGTAATGAAATTATAGTATTCAATTTATACTATTTAAAAAAATACATAATAAAATAAAAATATCAAATAAAATCAATTTAAATAATTTGATACAAAGTTACAAATAAATTATGTTTTTTATTATTGATGCCATTTATATAATAATAAAATTGAAATAAAAATTTTTAATTTTTAATACGACATTTATTTTTTATTAATAGTGCTAATTATTTATATTAACGAGTAAATTTATAATAAAAATAAAATTATATATATATATAATAAAATTAACTTTAACTAACTCTTTTAAATAGAGTATTTTCTGTCCAAGATATTACCCTTTTGGAAAAAGAGTTTATCTTTTTAAATGACAAAACTTACATCCTTTCATTCTTACAAATAGGTGAGATTCACAATTTTATTTTTTTTGTCAAGTCTCTCTTCCTTTATCTATCTCTTTATCTCTCTTAAAATAACACAATTTTACCACACTTTTCCCTACTCTTTTTTTGCTACACAAATAATAATAATAATCTACTCCTAGAATTCAACTTCACTTTTCAGTCAACGCTTGAACTAATTCACTTAGGCATCTCGGATCGAATCTAAAGTCTATCCAAAAATTGCAAACAAAACACAAAATCACCAAGAGTACGAAACGAATCAAGAAGAAGAGAAGCCACGAGAAGTTGAACACAGAGACAATTACATATAATTTGAATCTGAGAATAAAAAAAGAAGAGTAGTCGCAACAAACCTGTTGAAGGGTAGTGAAGTTATCAGGAATTAGAGCATACTTCTTCTTTGTAGATATCTTTGTGTCCCCCAAAGAGCTCTTCCCTGAACCATCATGCATCTTGAAAGACATGGGTGGTGGCGCTCGCCTTGGCTCCGGTGTTTGCGATGACATGGTTCCGCTGCTTATGTCGTCGGAGGAGCTTCTCCTATCAGCTTTTCTGGAAAATTGAGCTTCACGTTTTTTAGCATATGAGTTTCCCATCACATGTTCAGCTAGTCGTTCTCAAGAGTTATGTCATATATGAAATATTAAAAAGGAAAAAGTGTATATCATTTTAAATAATACAAAGTTGTATTTTTTTAAGTGAGAAAAAAGAATGAGTGAGAAAATTTTTAAATGTATGGATCCTAATTTTTAATGAGAGTGAAAGGATATAAGATGTGTCAATTAAAATGATATATCTTTTTTCTTAAAGACTACGAATAGCCTTTTTATTTACTAGGAATTAAAAGAATATCATAAAATTTAACTAGGACCAAAAATGATATTTATTCTAAAAAAAAAAAATCATTTTAAAAAACGGCTAAAAAGGGGCAAAGTGATTGCATAATATAAATTGCAAATTGTGGGAAACGAGGTGATGTGTTTGGTACTTTGGTTGGAAAATCGGGACAATGACCGTACTGCCACTTTTTAGGCAAAATTTTACCTGATTGTCATTTATGAAAAAAAATTTGCAAAAATGCCACGCCTGAATCCTGCTGGTCTGACAAGCGGGAATGGACTGGACACGTGTCAGCGTCTGAATGGTGAACCATTCTCGCTGGGCTGCCCAGCTAGAATGACAGAATGCTGACACGTGGCAAAAGCACATGCATTCTCTGGATGTCTGTACTTTTGCCACGTGTCAGCATTCTGTCATTCTAGCTGGGCAGCCCAGCGAGAATGGTTCACCATTCAGACGCTGACACGTGTCCAGTCCATTCCCGCTTGTCAGACCAGCGGGATTCAGGCGTGGCATTTTGGCAATTTTTTTTTCAAAAGTGGCAATCAGGTAAATTTTTATTAAAGGAGTGGCAATATGGTCAATGTCCCTGGAAAATCACGGTTAGAATTAGATCTTACTGCTATGCTGTTGCGTCATTTCTTGGGCCGACCCCATGCTAGATTGTAAAGGTGGAGTGGTGCTTTTATATAGTACCGATGCTGATATGATACAGGACACATGATACGATACGACACGATATTTCGACACTGTTGTTTTATTTGCATCCATCCAAGACTCAAAAATTGATCTTTTAGGCTCAGCTCTTGTCTTTATATCAGATCTAGAAGCACCATCACTAAAAATAACATTTTTTCATTAGGCAGGTGAAATGGAATTCTCTGAACTAGGCGGTATCTGCAATGAATATAGAAATCAAAAATTCTCCAGGCAGCTTCACATGCAGATACATACCTATCATACATAAAAAGAAGAATCAAAGAAGGTAAAAAAAATTACGCTTAAATATGAGGGGGGGAAATAATGGATGTTATTTTCATTACCTACAGTCATAAAACATTTTTATTTCATCAAGAGTTGAATCAGAATTATGTATAGCAGCAGTAACTCGATCATTTCCCTTATGAATGTATTTGAAAAGATATTTAACTGCATTGCTCTGACAGGTGTATTCAACATTAATATGAGCTTGATACTTTAAAAGAAGCTTGACATTATATGGCACAACATAACGATTATCCAGTTCAACACCATTTTTGAACAAAACCCTCCCATCATTTTTTCTCTTATAATGAGGGAATCTGTCATCATCACTAACCGTACGGGTATGGTACGAGCTGTCGAACTTGCGCAAATTAATTAAATCAGGTTTATTAAAATTTTGTAGTAAAGTGTCAACCTAAGTCGTTTCTCAAGGAGTTTGCAAGGAATTTAATCGCTAGGTTATAAAAATAAAAATAAAAATAAAATGGAAACCAAATGAAAATGGAAACTAAATGAAACAAGAACTGAATGAAAACGGTAATCAAATAAAAATGAAAATTATAACACCTCGCATTTCTAAAACATATATTAATATATTAAATATGGATTAAAAGGTAGGATTAGCGAAAATCCTGAAATTAAGGTCAAAATACAAAGTAAGGGTAAAACGGTAATGGATTTTGAGTGGGAGGTCTCAAATGGGAAAACTAACCCTGGAAATGGATTCAGAATGAAAAATTGAGTGGTTAGGCAAGTTTCTAAAAATTTGGTGAATAGTTTTTTTACTGGGTAAAAATATCACGGTACAGTTGCACCGTAAAGCGTGCCGGATGAATTTTGAGCTCTAGGTTTGGACATAAGTTATAAATGGTACATAGGACTAGGAAATATGATTTCTGGTGAAAATTGATGGAAATTAGTGTGTTTGGGGAATCGTACCCACGACGCGAGAACAACTTAAAACTGTGATTTCTCCGAACGACCGAAAAACTCCAGATTCATCTGATCAAGGGCAATTAAAGGACAATAGTTAATGTTAAAAATTAGAGTTTCTAAATAATTTATGAAATTATGGACGTTTAGCGGAATAGGCGGGAAATTCAAATTAGTTTGAAATCGCATGAGGTGGCGGTGGGGCCCACCTCACTTATGTGGACCTTGCCACTTGGACAACGTAGAAATCAGCTCCCTCTCTCTCCTTCCTCACCAACAAATCTGCGCCCTACTTCCATGGAAGAGAAAGTTTGCTTCCAAATCTTCTTTCTCTTATAACTCCCTCCATACTCACTCAAATCCAATAAAGTTTGTCACCAAAGTTGTTGGAAATCATCATCCAAACACAACCATGGTAGTCTTGAGCCTTGAAACTCCCTAGATTGGGAGAAAATCTCCAAAAACAGCCGCGACCTTGGGAGGAATTTTGAGGTTTTTGGAGTTGTGTGTTCAAGCCATTGTTTGGGTATCACTTGGAGGAGTCTTAGGCCAAGCTTGTGAGTAAGTTTCCACACTTTTGATTGGTTAAATTGATGGATCAATTTCATGAACCCTAGAGTTGATGTGTATGAATTGATGTAGTTAGAGAGCTCAAATTGAAATTGTGTATTAGATAAAAGTGACTAAGAATGATGTTTTAGAGTGATTGATGTCATAAAAATTATTGGAGAATTTGGATTATAACTTAAGAAAATTTGAGTTGAAATGTCATGCCTTTGTGGAATGGGTATGTTGTATGATTGTGTAATTGAGTTATGGAATAATTGTATGAGTTAATAGTAGATTTGTATGATGTGTGGAATTGTTAAATTGAATTGGATACCTTTGGTGGGAGGGCTTGATGAATTCGGCCTAGAGAGGGCAAAGATGGTTTGATGATGCAAAAATTATGTAAGGAATGTGTTGTGGTGTTAAATGGTATTTGGATGAGTTGTATGTTGAGTTGATGCATTGGAAATTAAAGGAAAAATATTTGGAGTGTGTGTGATGTGCATTCGAACCTAAAATGGAATAATTGGAAAAATGGTGTGTGATGGTGTAGGATGGAAAATGGGGCTTGAAAGGGTGTTGTGATAACCTTGGAATGCTATTGGGAAATTAAAATAAAATGAAGAAAAGTAAATTGTAAATTTGGCCTAAGATGGCCGAACCTAGGTTGACCCTAAGCGAATTAGAATCCCTACATTCGCTTAGGAACCCCTCTCTAGACGATCGCCTAGCGTTTGGTCGAATACAGTGCGTCTACTCGTGCAATAGCGCAGTATCAACCCGTACGACTTGAGTTCATTGGGTTAATCAACCTAACCATTAAATCTAATGGTTAATCTCTTTCTCAAGGACGCAATCGTGTATCTTAGATTGAACACCCACAATCGCGCGATGTCAAACCGAGTTGGAAAGAGAAACAAATTGGGTTCAAAATGAGGCGCAGGTCCTCAGGATTCAACCATTGAATCTTTAACCCTTGGGATGATTAAAGAAAAGAGGAGAGAAAAAAATACCAAAATTATATTAATTTCAAAACTGTAAAATTCAAATTCAAACGAAAGATGATCCACAAGGTCCCTACTCTCGCCCTTTTAACCCTTAATCAAGCTAGGCTTCAGGCTCTGCAAATCCAACCCAAAATAAAAGGAAAGAAAACAAAAATATTGGCTCTGGGCCTCATGTACATTGGGTTCAAAATTATAACTTAAGTCCACTTTTAAATAAATTTCCAGAAAAACCCGTCCATCTTGGGCTCAGGTTTCAACCATCTTCCCGTCCAAATTAGGATTCACATGTCTGAAATAGCGATTGTATCCCTTTCTGTTAGCTGTAAAACACAACAAGAACACAGTCAATCGTACATCTGTAGAGTGAGATATGGCCAAAATATGAAAGTAGTGTAAATCTGGAAAATTCTGACGAAAATCAATTAAACTCAATTAAAATCTAGAATTTTAATTTGACCCAAAAGACCTTTATTTAACTCAAATAAAACCTAAAAATACTAACCAAGAGTAATAAATAAGTGTAACAAAATATGTGTTATCCAATTCCTCCACACTTATCTCTTTGCACTCCTGGGCAAAAACTAAAACAAAAAAGCAAAGACTAAGATCAACCAATCCTTTCAAACAATTACCAAGCATACAGAAAATACACAAAGATCACAACTTTTCAACAGATAAACCAATCAGGACAGAAATTCCCTAATCTCAAATCACAAGACGTGGTAATGTCAATTGAAAATACTAATTACATAAAATAGTCTCTTACAAGATGCTCTCAATTACTTTCTCAAGTGTATAGGGTAGTTAATTGTATCACTCAAATCTACCCAAGAGAATTATCCTACCATAAGCTTGCTCAAGTTCTACTTCTCCACTGCTAATAACAAATTCATGCATAAATCAAGAGGACTTTATTTAAGGTGGTAATGGGGATTAGGTAAAGCTATGGATGAGTATGGAAAAGAGAGGTTAAATACCCAAGAAATTTAAAAGAGTATTAGTCAAATAAAATCTAAATCAACGAAACATAATTGAAATAAAAACAAAAACAAAAATAATAATAAAGTAAGGGAAACACAACATAAAGATGAAAACTTTTTTTTTCTATTTTTCATTTTCTTTTTCAGTGCTTTATTTTTAATGAAAATAACAAAAGAATTAAATGCTCCTTCCCCACACTTAAAGTGTTGCACGTCCCGGGAAACCTTCATGCTTAAACACAAAACTACAGTGAAACCAATGCTCAATAAATTTTGAAGGTATGGAATTAAATGGTTTTTCAC